GGTGGGCTCAAATGGAGGAGATGAAGGCAACCTTATAAGAGCCAAGGAGGAAATGGCTATTATCAGGATGTGATTGTTCCCTAATAGTATACCAGGGTGTAAAATGTGTGAACAGACCAAAGGAAATAAAACCCAATTCATACTTGGAAAAAAAATGATTTCCGTATATCTTCTGTATCAAATTTTCTTTATACTTTTATGGGCATTCCTTGAATTAATGAACATCTTTCCACAGAGACTGAGAGAGCAAGGAAGCAAGTAAGACTGAAGCATTTGTCCCTGGGGTGTAATGCATGGTTTGTTAGTCCTTAAAATAAAAGAAGGAAAGGAAATGGGAGTGATATAAGACAATGGATCTTTTGTCATTGTGGTTAAAATGCCTGGCAGAGAGGGTAGAGACCATAAGGAGTGTAGGAGTAAGAAGTTTTTTTTTTTTTTTTACCCTCCTCTCCCTTAAAATAATCATTATAGCTTGTTTCTAAAGCTTTATGGGGCAAAGCTCACAGGCTTGGGAATGCATTTATAGTCACTCTTGTTTGGACCTCATACCTGTTGCAGTTCGAAATGAAAGAAAACTCTGCAATGGAACAAGTATGAAGACAGGTTTGGAATTTTAGGACACATCTTCACTTGCTCCTAACCATGAAAGACAGCCACAAGTTTCCTGTGTTGCATTGGTCTGGTTGATGAGCAAAGCAGCATTTTGTTTTTGTTGTTGCTACTTTGAAGCAGTGGTTCTTCTCCCAGGGACGGTCCCAGAACTATCAAGTCTGTTAGGTTGGAAGGAAGTCAGATCACTAATTGGGTACTAAGGCCATTGAGGCAGAATCGGGATGATGAATTTCATGCTGGTTTTGTTGCCTGTTACCAACTTAAGGAAAGGCCTACACGGAAAAGTTATCATTTAAGCAAGACATGCTCGACTTTCGCTTGAGGGAGCAAAGCAAAGTGAATTGTAGTGGTATGGGTATGATAGAATTATAATCTTAATAGATTTGGGAATGTTTCCTCTTGCATTTCCCACTGATTTCAATGAGTTAAACAGGATGTGGTGTTGTGTCCCTTTGTAATCTTCACACTCATCTCTCCCTATGCTAACATTCAGATTCTTCCCAGCCTCTCTTTTTCCAAAGAAAGGTTCATTGAACATCTGTTATGAAGGGAAGTCCATCACTTTTCATGGTTACAGCTTCTACTTTGAATTGTTCTTGTTATGAAGTCTTTTTTAAAACTAGTGTTCCTTTGAAATCTGCCTATATATAGCTTAAATGAATTAGTTTGTATTGGCACTCTGGAACAAGAGAGAGAAATAGTTAACTATTTCAAGATCTTTTTTCAATGAATAGTATCACTAAGGCAGGTATCCTTCCTTCTATTCCTGATGGGTTTTTTCTGTCATATTATGCCACTTGGTTTTGCAGCATGTGCAAACTGGGTAGGAATCCTTTCTCTCCATCAAAGTCATTAATAACAATTTGGGATACTGTAGTAATGGAAAATCAAAAGCCCCACTCAGTATTATCTGTCTGTTTTCTTAACAAGCACAACTCACACACCCTCACAGGGGTGGTGAATGGGAGCGATAGCATGTTCATTATGGATACCATGAGCAAATGACATAATTATGTAATATAAGATTAATTGGTTGATATTCAGTACAAAAGCCACTTGTGTGATGTAGTACAAACATGTAACTAATATGAAAGCTTAAATTGGGCTAGAATAAAACATAAGATATTCTGTTTCTTTGAAAAGCTCACATACTGTATGTGCTAATTCATTAGAATTATAATCATGAGGAAAAAAAATAAAGCTTTAAGTTTATGGACAGGAGCTTATAAAAAGATGTGGATATTTATGACAATAATCTAGTCGGATATTCATTATATGTCAAGGAAAGCTGATAAGTAAGCTGGAGAGCTTAAATTAATGGGAATTCATATCAATAAACCATAATATGATTTGTTTGGTTTTATTTAGGATGATGGATGAATAAGAAACGATGGTTTGCTCCACATATAGGGGCCTAGTACAAATATGAAGACAGTCATTGTCATTGTGAGATTGATTTATTTCTTGTTCTAGCTTAAGGGTATGCAAACCTTTTAAGCAGGTAGCTAAGAAGGCTGTGAAGATCTTGATCAAGATCAAGATGGAATTCTCTTTGATTAAAGGTCAAGTGAAGCATCCCCTCAAAAATGATCATAAAATGTTGCCTGTTTCGTGCTGACTGCCTTAATCTTCATGCATTAATGTATAACTAGACATACAATATCTTGCCTGCAAAAATCCAAATAACCACTAGATGTAAGGATAGATCCTTGTGGCTGGCTGCCATCTAGTAATTGCCTAGAGTTTTGCATTCTGGATATGTATAATATGTCTAATTACAACAGTAGTTCTTCTTCAGTTGTAATTTGTTAATTCCCTGAGAAGTAACTTTCTTGCATAGAACCTGTCAAGATAAATACCATTTTCCCTGCACTAATTTACTGGGCACATTTGAAAGGTTAAGAATATGTTATGGGTTAGAAAGAGATTCAGATTCCTGATGTCATGGGATGTTAAAGGGCGGGGAGGGAATCTGGTTAGGCTTGCAAGATTGCCTTATAGTGGTCTACTCAATAAGATTTGGTTCTAGTCATTTGTATAGTCTGTTTCCTATCATCTTCAAAGGTCTGATATCAGTCTTGTTAGTCTGACTATGTATTCTCCTCCCTTCTACTAATACCCTAGGGAGAGTCCAGGCTTCCTAATGGTTTCCCTGTTTCCCAGGCTCAGCACATAATATAAACATATACAAAAGTGAATTTGCCATCCAAATAGAGACTTTCATTACATTACAGACAACCAGGATGCCAAAAAGTAGTCATTATGTTCCTCAGTACAAAAATTTCCAATGCTGGGGAAAAGTGTTATTTATTTATTAAATTTATATACCGCCCATCTCTCTAAAGGTGACTCTATGTGAATTGCAATCAATCAATAAAAATCCCAATATAAAACATTAAAACATAATAACAATAAATAGTAACATTATATTAAAATTGACAAAGTTGAGGAGGAAGGGAGCAAGATGCACCTTGGGAGAAGGTGGGGTCTTATCTTAATCCATTTATCACCTTCAAAATGACTTATTTTTATGGGGCATCCAGGCTTACCACAAGAAAAGAGTTTTCTTGTGGAAAGATTGCTTCTGAAGCAGGGAAATTTGAATGTAAATGACTTTATTTCTCAATCTTAGCAACTCTGAGATGAGTAGATGTCAACTTCCAAAATTCTCCTAGCATAGTTTGAGGTTAAAAAAAAAAGAATTAACATTTATTATACCATGATGTTACTTTCACACTGATATCACATTTAGTTTTGAATATTAAATTACAGTTTAATTTTGCACTGAATGAAGAATTACTTTCTTTTGTTCTGATTTCTTTTCTAACCAACTTGGTCTTAGTGCTAGGAGAAAGAGGGGAAAAATGTGTTTTCCACATGCTTGACTGTAAGATCCTCTGTGCAATGGGTGGACCAGAAATATTTCAGAATAATGATAATAATTGCAAGCAACATCATGACTGAGTTTCCAGAATTAATCATTGGAAACTTTGCTAAGGATTTGGATGTGAATATAATAAAAACTACTGGGACCATCAAGTTGAGAAGGTTTTGAAAAATGAGCAGCTTAAGGTCTCATAAACTTTAAGATTCAAACAGATAGGCATCTTGCTCATATTATGGATGATATAACACTTATTAAAAAGGAGAGTGTCTGGTTCACTGATGTTGCTATTCTAGGTGATGCTAGGACTGAGAAAAAACAATTGGAAAAAGTTACAAAATATTGTGACTCGGAGATTGAAGTTGTACGCTTATGGAAAAAAAAAAGTTGTTGTATCAATTGTGACTGGAAACTTTGTTCCACACCATGATAGCGCAGTGGTTAGAATGCAATATTGCAAGCTACTTCTGATGCTGGTGGCTGCCAGCAATTCGGCAGTTCAAATTTCACCAGGCTCAAGGTTGGCCCACCCTTCCACCCTTCCAAGGTTGGTAAAATGAGGACCAAGATTGTTGGGGACAATATGCTGACTCTGTAAACCACTTAGAGACTGCTACAAAGCACTATGAAGTGGAATATAAGTCTACTGCTATTGTCGCAATACCTAAAGAACTTCCATGATAGCTGGAAATATTGGATTTATCAGCCCTGAACATCCCATTTAAAAAAAAAAAAAAAAAACACTCACCCTCCACTCTGCTTTGAACTGCCTATATTCTTAGATGCTACCTTACGAATTCTTAGGTGCTTGGTAAGGACTTGAATTATTATGTT